AGAAACAAGCATGGGCCTGGACCCTCAGACTGTGTAAATTGGCACTGTTGTGATGAGCTTTAGTAGGGAACAGTTGAGAGTCTGACTCCAAAGAAAGAGCAAAGAGAAATGTAAGACAGCCAAAATGAGACATAGACCATTAAAATAAGTTGATAATAGAGGTGTATATATATACAGTTTTTGTTTGTCTTTAATCTTTCAAGTTTTAATCTTTTGCCATCTATGAAACAGAGCATGAGATATTTCTGATATATTTTCAAAGGTCAGGACCAAAGCCATGCTCCTTTAGAGGCCTTATGACTGTTCGTGCTTTTTTGATGTTTGTACCATCATTCAGACCTGATAAGTAGATGAATGACCCATGATAAATGTCCATAATGAGAAAGTGATAAGAATACCAGCATCTGACATGAGTTATGCCTCTGACGACCAAAAATGGAGATGCTCTGCTTTTATCTTTACTCTCAAACTTCTTAATTAGAAAGAAAGCATATTTTCCACCCAGTGCATATGTATCTGGCAAGCTTGTTGTCTAGTAACAAGGCATCTCAGCCAATGACCTTATTATAGATACTGTTGTAATTTAGTGTTTGAAAATGTCTCCTCCCTATAGTGCATGAGCCACAGGAGCAAGCTTTATGCAGTGATATGTAACAAAAATTGCTAAACATAAAATCTGATGGGATCCTGATGATTTGAAAAAGAAAAAAAAAAAAAAAGAAAGAAAGAAAAAAATTAAAGAATGAGGGCCCCGTCCCACAGGGTTTTGAAAATACATGCTCATTTATTCACATATATGGTTTGATTCAATTGTGGGGATTACTTATATGAGTGATGACACACACATGCATTTCAAAAACCTGGCTATGCAGATCAGATTTTAATCTCAGATACCCAGAAAGTCTGTATTGTGAAAGCCTTATATGGGCAAAATTCCCTTTAATGAGATTCCTCCCATTGATAGGACTCTTGCTCCAGAGAAGCAAGAAAATCAGAGCCATTCAAATCTTTCTTTAAAAAATGAGCCACTGTGTGCTGTTGGAGAATTAGAGCTGTGGACTTTTTCAGAAATTAGAGTCTGTATTCAAGAGCCTTAATTTTCCCAGAAATCAAGTGAATGTTCTGAATTAATTTGTAGCAGGCATGCTACAACCCAGCGATGGTTCACTGTCTTTTGCCTATGCTCTGAAAAGACTGGCACACTTGTGTCCTTCTCCATGACTTGGACTCCTGCTGAAATAAAAGAGATGCATTTGTGGAAGGAGAGCTTAACAATTAGAACCTAATTCTCTCATAGTGAATGGGAAAACTGTTCACATAGTGAAAGGAAGCTAATATTAACTGCAGTAAAGCTACACTAAACTAAGAATTTCTGCATTGTGCAAGCTACTGGACTGTACTGGCTTCCATATTATAAAAAGAAAAATTAAAATTCCTTTGTTTTGAATAACTGCTGCATAACCGCTGTAAGGCAGTATTTTATCCTGCCATTTAATTGCATTATTGTGATAATACCAAATTACTTAAGCTTAAAAGCTATCATGAATAGCCGAAAGCAACAATTCTGGCTGACTGCAAAACAGTATTATGCGTTTTTATGCTTTTGTTTTGTTTGCATCTAAATGCAAGGTTCATAAAACATCAGCAATACGAGGTGTAGCAAGGAGAGAAACGTTTTGTAGAGGATGTTTATTTAGATTTTCTTGGTTTCCTTTCAAACTAAGATTTGTTTACTAGAGGCATTACAATTTAGTGAGACAAATTAGGCTAAACTTTTTATCTCTGGTGGTTTGCACATGCACTGATTGAACTAGTATTTCTTCTAAAGATTGCCTGGGAAGATAAATGAACAAGAGGAGCAATTAGAGTAAGGAAAAACTAAAGATTGGCTGACATGATTTAAGTTTACCGCTAAGGCAGTTTGTCATTTTGTCTCTATAATCTCTATCAGAATTGACTAAAACGGTAAACATAAATCATTATACTAATTTATTTCACCACAGTGTGGTCTGGGAGAAGAAGATTTCATTTTTTTCCACAGACTTTTGGGATTCAAGTATTTGCAGAACTTTTTTTTAATATAGTGGAAAAACAAGCCAGCCTAAAGAATCATTGATTAGTATTTCAGCTTCTTTAAAATCTTATTTTTTTTTTTTTTATGGTAAGCCAAGAAATACCCCTATTACTGTTGCTAAAATAACTGTTAAGAATTCAGAATAAATGGGCATGGATTTGATTTTTTAAGTGAATGTATAAAGTTTAATGCAGGACAAAATGTAATGCAAGGCCATCAGTTAATACTTTACACTAGTCCAGCTAATAGGCAGCCTTCTCTCCTGAGATGCATCAGAACAAAATGTGCAGGACGGTGGGACATCTTTGTGGGAGGGAAATCACTAGATATCTGAGGACACCCTGCAGCATAAATCTCCATGGGCTGTCACTAGGCCTGTTATAGACTCTCCAAAAATAGAGCTCTGTATATCTTCATTAGGAACCATGCTAACAACGCTGCCTTCCTGCAGTTTTATTCAGAAACTATGGATATGGTAAGGTCTATATTATGTTGCTCTTGTCAAGTGAAATATTCCTTATCAATGTCTTGAAAGGACAGATTTTCCAATGTCATTGGCATATCTAAGTCCCTTGGACCTCTCTGGGTGTGGGTGGTCCATCTGGCTCATTGAAGCTCCTTGTAAGCTGCTGCCCTTGTTATTCTCCCAAATCACAAAATGACAGAATCACAGAATGGCCAGGCTTGGAAGGGGCCTCAAGGATCATGAATCTCCGACCCCCTCCCACAGGCAGGGCCACCAAACTCTCCATTTAATACTAGACCAGGCTGCCCAGGGTCCCATCCAACCTGGCCTTGAACACCTCCAGGACGGGGCATCCACAGCCTATCTGGGCAGCTGTTCCAGCACCTCACCACTCTCTCTGTAAAGAACTTCCCCTGACATCCAACCTAAATCTTCCAACTTAAAACCATTTCCCCTTGTCCTACACATATCAACCCTTTCAAAGAGTTGGTTCCCCTCCTGTTTGTAGGCTCCCTTTAGGCACTGAAAGGCTGCAATGAGGTCACCCCGCAGCCTTCTTGTCTCCAGGCTGAACAAGCCCAGCTCCTCAGCCTGTCTTCATAGAGGAGGTGCTCCTGTCCCTTGATCGTCTTCGTGTTCTCCTCTGGACCCTCTCCAACAGCTCCCTGTCTTTCTTGTACTGCGGGCTCCAGACCTGGACACAGTACTGCAGATGGGGCCTCACAAGAGCAGAGTAGAGGGGGACAATCACCTCCCTGTCCCTGCTGGCCACCCCTCTTCTGATGGAGCCCAGGATACTATTTGCTTTCCAAGCTGCAAGAGTGCACTGCTGGTCCTTGTTAAGCTTTTCATCTGTCAAGATCCCCAGGTCCTCCTCTCACTAGTTTAGTGAGATTTTGTCTGATATTTTTTTCATTGGATACCTGAGGCTGGCTGTTAGACCTGTTAATTCCCATAATTAATGGTAATGTGAGGGAACAAGAAAATGCAGATCCTCAAACATGCTAAAGACTTCCAAACTTATTTGAAAAGTTTCTGAAGTCAAGATAAGCACTAGCAATGGGTCAAGATTGCCAACTCAACTACTGGCATGGCCCTAAAGCATAAAGTTCATATTCAAGTAAAAAATATTACAGTTTTCTCTATACCAGCAAAGCAGAGATGCCAGGCTGATGGCAAGGCAGAAACAAATGTTCCTACTTGTGTGAAGGATCACTGAGTGGATTGAAAAGAGATAAAATGCACCAAGTTTGCCTGAGCAGGGCAGATATTTTATATAAAGAAAACGCTCATCCCAGCTTTGAACTCCAGAGGGCAATAGTCCACAGCACGACAGCTACCTCAAGATCTGCTAAAAAAAAAATAAAATAAAAATTCATTTCTGAAAGCTTTTGTGGTACTACCAACAGGATTGGGATCATACCACGTGAAAATGGTGGCTGCAGAACATGCAGCCAGGATTGACAGAACCACAGCTGGTAGCAAAGTGTGAGACTAATGGAAAAAAAGCAGGAAAAAAAAAAGTTATCTTGTCTCTGAAAATGCCTTGAAAAGAGTGGCATGCTGCAGGAGAGGCAGTGTAGGACATCGGTGGGCAGGAGCATGTTGTGGAAGCTTGTCAGGAGGGTTCTGTAATCTGAATAAGTCCTATTGTGTGCTTATTAGCAGTTTTAAATCAAGGACTATATATGTATAATACTTTATGATTATTTATTCTGATTATACTTTTAAAATAACAATTTTCATGTGCTAAGAATACAGGAATTCTTGCAAGCTACAGCCAAGCTACAAATACTCCTGCACAGCACTGCAGTGGATTCTTTCAATCATTAAATCAGGAACAAAAACATCTACTAAATTACAAAAATACTACTACGTTCTTTACCATTACCATTTATTTATTTGTTTGTTTGTTTTGAAATGTGTACCAAATAGCATCTTTTTTCAAAGGGAAACACTCCCATTCTGGGCAGCGTCACTGGAAATATCAGTGAGATATCTCGAACTTCTGGCATAAAGTCTCCACAGTATTGGCTTTTGTTATGGTCTGGGGTCTGTGTGTTGCTCTAGTTCCCCATCAAGAACTGCTGCTTACCATGTACTCCTGGCACTCCGATTTTCTCCCAGACCAGGGAGGGGTTTTGTTGCTCTGAGCACATTACCCTCACATGGGCATTATGTAAGACTCTATGGCATGATCAGCAAAGCAAAGCAGACTACTAACACAACTTGAGCAGAGAGTAGGAAGATAGCAGGCAAAAAAAAAAAAAAAAAAAAAAAAAAAAAAAAAAAAAGTTTTTGTTTTGGATTTCATTATTTTGAGCTGTCACAAGTCATGTTTGTAGATAAGGTCCTAAAATCTCGGCTCTGTTGGCTGTTACATGCTAACATTTCCTGTCTTCCTAAGGTCAAGGAAGAGCTATGCTTGCTGGTGCCTGCCAGGCTTTGCTCAGAGGAAGACAGCAATCAGGAGGCAGTGAGCAGTCAGTCTGCCACCTCTCTAAGCTGCAGAGAGGTAAGAGATGAAAAACTACTGTGCATGCTACACTTTAATATCTTTTAACAAATCACAGATCAATACACCTGACTCTGTAACTGAGTGCTTTGCTTACGGTGTAAAAATAAACTGCTACTCAGTTTCAGCTTTAGGGTTTCCTTTCCCAAATCAGGAACTGGAACAACCATGCAGGGTCCTTACAGTACCAATAAGGCTGTTGGGTGATCACTTATTTATGGAGGTGATACATACAATGCAAGGACGTTTCTACCTTTCCTCTTAGTCCCAGAAATGGTCTGTGTGACTGTTTTGTTTTGTTTTAATTGAAATTACTTTACAGTAGAAATCCACTTTCTGCTACAGAATATATTAATTTGCCTTTTTAACAGGGCAAGTCCATGCAGCAGAGAGCTCAAAACTGCTGGGCTTGCCTGCAACTAAATCTAGATTGTGTTCTGCCGCTGCCTTCATACTGAAAACAACTACATTTGCCTGTTTTAGATACCCGAGGGTCACATTTCCTTCTGCAGAGATAACCTCTTGGGACAGCTGCATTCCACTCAACCCGAGAACCACCATGCAGTGAAACTAAAGGGAATTTTGTCTTCCTTATTTCTCCTTGCAACTGAGAGCAAAGTTTAAGATGGAGATATCTGCACAATACAAAGTGACATTGAGTGAGGTGATCATATCAAAGGAAGAAGTAACACTCAAATTTACATTTAACTCTGTCAGTTCAATACAAGTTTAAAATAGAAGCAAGTCATCTCCATTTGACAACCGTGACAGCTATAGCACACGAGTTTGCAAGCCAAGCAGTGAGTGCTCATAGGAGAACAGTTATTCCATATCCAACTTTGCAGGCTGATAAAAAGTAGTTTATTGCTAGCAGAAAATAAGTGACCCAAGCAACTTACTCTCACCAGGTTCAATAAATTTCTTCAGCAACTGATCATGTGGAGAAAATGAAACAAAACTTCCTGAAGTTCATGGAAATGTTGGTAAACACTGACAAGGAAAATTACCACCTAAGGTAGAGTTTAATATAAGAATTATGACATTAGTAAATAACTTGCAAAAATATGAGATGGTAGGAAGTTCTTCTTGAATGAGGTTAAATACCAGCTCTGAGGTTGCAGGTGAATTTTCTGTAAGATTGCCATGGGTAGTGGTATTTCTTAGCAATCCTTCACTAAAGGTAGAGCCGTTACTTATGACACTTGTCCAAGGTGCAGAAGGGACTCCAGACATTCTACAGGAAAAACCAGACAAGCCTGAGGCTACAGTAATAGAGCCAAAAATAATTTAGTCATACAAGACTAGCTTAATACCACAGATACTAGTAAAAATCTTTGCTACAAGTGGGCAGCTTCATACTTAAAAATGAGACAGGGAGGGGAAGAGCAGCTGGTCATGGTATGAATCATAGATAAGAAGACAAACTAGTGATGATTTAATCAACAGAAACATTGCACAACAACACTGACAAAAGCTCAGTAAGACTTCATGAGGATGTAAGGGACATGTTAGGTTTTTGTGTTTGTTAAATGTAAATGAAGTCTGCAGCATTGAGAAAGGTATTCTGAGACAAAGCATCATTACTAAGTCATTCCTTTCTACTTGTAGCCCTGCTATCTGTATGTAAGATGAAGAGAGTTCCTACTCTCTTTTGACTGAATTTAGAAAAGATAGCTCTTTATGTGTGGATGTTTAATTGCTATAAATCCTGTTTATGTATTCCTGTTGTTCTTTCACTCACAGACTCTCCTTCTCAGTGTTCTCATTTGAAGAGATGGTCTTTCAGAGATCTCTTCTGATGGTGATGCCTTTCTGAATATGGAAATGCAGTGTCCTTGGCTTTTGCCAGACCATCTCTTCTTGTGCCATTTGTAAGTTTGGAATCCAAAATATTTCCTCTGTTTTGGAAATACATCAATGATTTCTACAAATCTCAACTAAACTCAACCTTAAGATTCTACAGTTGTTTGAAATAAAGTTTTAAGCTTAAGACTAGGTGTATTGCTGATGTATTTGGATCAAAACAGAAGCAATGCAAGCTAAGGAAACAATGTGAATAATGCATTATCCACAACCTACAGTATGACCAGTAGACAGTGGAGTGCAGGTGTTGTGTGGTGCAAGAAAGAGTCGTTCGGTGGATTTCAAACTCTGTATTGATTAAAAAAGCAAAAAAAAAAAATTATGTTGAAACAAACAGTTGGGAAAGTCTTTGTCTCACTGAGCAGTTTAGTATCTATATTAAAAAAATTGAAACATTAAAGTAGCACTTTATTAGTCACACGTGCAACTAACGCTGCCACGTGTAAATGTGATACCAAGATTTCCATTATTACTGCTGTACGTGTGAAAACTGTGGTTTCAGCTTTACCACGAGCTTTGTCTGTATTGGGAGCATACTGTATGGTGGAAAAAAAGTGTTGCTTTTCTTTAACGTGAGTTTATATCCACTACATCTTTGTAGTCTTTTACACCCTGCCCTTTCCACATCTCTCTGTTTCATCCATATGCTTTCCATGGCACACACTAATTACGGCCTTTGGGGTCCGTGCCTGTTATTAGAGCCTTACTGGCTACCTTATTTCTTGAAGACTATTCACTGCAAAAGCATCTTCCAATCTGGCCAGAGATTTTCTGCATCTCAAACACTTATAAAAGCCCTCGAAAGATTGTTTTCATGCAGAGCCGAAAGGACAAAGTAAAAAACTGTTTTAACCTGTGATCAGACTGTTCTGTACCCAAAACAATGCCACGTTATGCTTTATTCATTTCATTTGTTTTTCTAGGGGTCCTCTATTCAGGCACAACGTACTCAAGTCCATACTGCTCAAGTATATTTTATTCAAATGCCTCTTTCAGAAGGAGAGGAAAGGTATGATGGACGGAACATCTGATTGCTAACAAGAGCTCACACAACTCTCAAAATGCGACACGGCAGGCATCTCTTCACAGAGTGGGCAAAAGGCACACAGTACCAGGAGACATTAGGTTTTTAAAAGTGAAGTTAAACTGATAAATTAGACCTCATTTATTGAACAGCAGTTACAGCCAATTGCCCAGGGAGTCATTTGACACCTTTGAAGACCCTGCTAACTTAATTGGTGATAGTTTGGGGGCTGAAGGAAACATTTAAGCCTGTAGCAGCAGGACACCGTGCAGCATGAAAATGGAGAAGACAGGCATTCTCACTGACAAGGGGAGTCATATATAGATTTTTGTGTCCATTGTTTTCGCTTATTTGTGTGTGTGCTTTACTCAGTCAATCAAATATAATTGACACCACTGGGTTCTGTTGTTTTGTGGATGACAGAAGCTAATGCAAGGGAAAAAAGCTGGAAGTAAACTTCCCCCTGAAAGGCTGTGTAAAGGTTTTTCCACCGGGCTTGTGACATTTTTTGCTCAATTGTATTAATTGATGTAGTGACAAGGCAGTTGGAAAGATGATGTATACTGATCACTACACTT